TCGGTAACAGCTACACAAAGATAAGCCCATGGGCTAGTCAGCTAGGCCTGTCCTGCCAGCTGGTGTGCGGGCACAAAAAGCATGTCTGAACATAAAAACCCCACAGCCCTTGCATTTTACATCCTTGCAACACATGCATTAACCCACCACAACCCTAGGACAGGAGGGCTTTCTTGCAACCGTCCCTGCGTTGGCTTCCAAAACCCACCGATAAACAGGGGTATAAGTGAATGCTGGCAAATAATGAAGAGAAAATAACTTTTTTCCCCCCCGCCTTCTTCACTTGCCTGTACTACTTATCCACCTGTAGTCCACCCTAGCTGTGAAAATAGGTCCCCACCTTTGAGTGACTGCTGTGGTGAGCCTGAGCGCCGATGAGGCCTGGGTCTAACTGCATCTTCCTTGCCGTGGCCACCTGCGGGTGCAGGGACACTGCTCCTGCTGTGGCTCGCGGCACTCCCACAGGGCAAGCAGCCTGGCGGCTTTCTGCTTGAATGCTCCCGATCAGCCCTCGCTTTGCTGCCCAGCCTGAGCCGCCCTGCGCAAGTGGGAATTGTCTCCAGCCCTGCTCCCCTGCTGGCAACCCTATAGCCGAGGGTCCAAGGGCGCACACAGGGGGTGAAATACCCCACCAGGAAGCCACGTCCAAGGCCTGCCCAACCAGGTCAGCTCCATTAGACAGTTCGGGTGGCGTTAAATCCTGCATGGGTCTGTCTGGACTTCCTGCCTCCCTAGGAGGCTATTGCCCTTCATTCATCTTTCAAATGTATTTTGGGGCAAGAGGTACTGCTCTCAGAGACCAGAGGGCTTCCCCACAGGATATGCATTAAAGGGAGACGAGGAGAAGGATGATCTTGGACTGGGGCCGATGACAAATCCTGGCTTTACCAATGACCATATCCTTGAACTTAGTCAAATCTCTCAGCAAAGGGAGGTTTAAAGCAGCTCTGGGAGCTAGAGCCTGACACCCTCACCTTTAAGGGCAGCACGGTGCAAGGACCCAACCTTTCATCTCAGATTCTTGGCTTCCAACTCTAAAATCAGGGCAAGGATCCTCTCATCTTTCTACCCATCGCCTCGGGGCGGCAGGCTGCCAGCGCTCCATGCGCAGGACTGTCTCAGGCTTGCCATCCCTGCTGAGCGCGGAGCGGCCCAGCTCTCGGCGGGGGCCTTTCCAAGCGATGGTCACCACAACGAACACGAGCAATACTCCAGGCCCCTCATCTGCGACAGGACGGGGAGGCAGCCTGGGATACGGCGACGAGAACTGAGAAATAGAAAGCGCTTTGCATGGCGTTCATGTTATCCCTTCGGCCCTCCCCCTCGTCCCCTTTGGAGCTTCTTAACTTTAGAAACCTTCCTCCAGAGGAGTGTTGGAGTGACAGAAAACATTTTCCAAGCCTAATATCAGTTCCAGATGTTCACAGCCATTTCAGTTTGTACCTCACCCTGTAAAACACATTTTTCTCTCTCTCCCCGTCTCAAGTGCGGAGCCTGCTTCTTCTATGACATAATGCGCTGGCTTGTGCGGCCGGCGCGCGCACAGACACGCACGCTCGCGCTCTCGCCCTCTTCGAGAGCCTCGTGTGCAAACAAAGAGCATCACTCAACTACAAAGCTGTCGCACACATGGAGTTACGAGTAATTTCCACAAGTTTTAATAAACAGTTTGGGATGTAATTGCTCTCCGCCTTCTCTGCTAGCTCCTGCGCGGGGAGCCGCTCTCTCCCCGCTCGCTGGTGTTGAAAGCGTGGTTTGCTTCGCACACAAGTTCACCTCAGGAACCAGCCCTATTAGCATCAGATGGTCCGAGGGCTGTGTTTCTCTAAGCACTAGTAATAAAGCTCTTCAAAAAACAAACAAAAAAAAAGAGCTTAGCCGGGGGGCAGCTGATCCACGTGAGCTCCCAGATTCTTTCACCCTGTCCTCTAACACCTCTGTCCAGCACATGGAGACCAGGCAAGGGAGGAGGGGGATGCACGTTAGGCCAGCCTTAAACCTTGCTCCTGACTCAGCTCCAAGAAGAAGAGGAGCAAATATTTTCTGGCTCAAGGGAAAGACTTCAACTTCCAGTTGCAAAGCAAGTGGGAGGCCAAGCAGTTTTGCGAGTAGACTGGAGTCTTTTCTGGGGGAGAGGAGGGAAGCAGAAAGAAGAGCGTTAGGCTGGGGGTCAGGTACCATCTAGAAGTGCAGCTTGCCAGAGAGCTGAAAAAAACGGGCTGGCACAGCTCTAAGCCAGAGCCAGTACCAGGAATCACAATAAGAAATGGCTACAAGTGTAACAAGAAAAGATAAAAATAATTTAAAAAGCTAATAATCCTCCCAGAGATCTAAGAGAGAAACTGCAGCAGCCTCATGAACCTTCATAGCTCATAGGCTCTTCTCAGCCCAGCGCTCCCACGTTCTGCAAATACCCATCCACTGCCCAGCAAGAGGAACAACCCCCTTCTAACTGTCAGCACCACAAGACTGCTGGGAGAGAAAGATCTGGCAATATCTGTCAAAAGCACCTCAAAGTTCACATTTTTTTCCTTCCCCACAGAGGTTCCCCATTCTGGATTTTTTGTGTGTGCGTGCCCACAGATGCTGATCTGATGTAATGGCAACATGCTGCAGTATGATGGTGGACGACAGTTGTGAGGAGATCATCACAGATGGATTTCTGACTGGACTGAGCACAGTACCAAATGAAGCCTGAGAGCTGTATGGACTCAGCATCCCTGCAAACCTAGGCAAGGTATTTGCAAGAATCAAGTCATATGGCATTAGGGGCCGACAGGGTGGAAAAGGAATGAAGGAAGGAATGTTGTTTGGTTATAAACAACATAAAAAAAAAAAAAAGAGGAGAGATTTAGGATTGGCTTTTTCCTTTGTTAATGGGGTCATTCTGTCCTGAACGGTCCCCCAGAGCAGAGAGAGGGGAGCGCAGCTCCTCACAATGCATGTCAAACACATGGCAGTCATAAAAAGAAAATAATAATAATAATCTGTATTTCCTACTCTGGCTGCCAGGCAAAGATCCAGCCACTTCAAAGGAGAAACCCCATGTTTCCCTGGTCTGGCCTCACCTGACCAATGTGCGAGCAGTCTGGAATCCCCATCCAAAACAAAGCGCTTCCTTTGGTGGCTTGTTTTCTTTTTTTCCCATTACTGGAGGGTGCCCCTCCAAGATAAAGAACAAGCCTTCTTCCATGCCAGGAAACTAGAAACAGAACCCAGGGACTGTGGCCACACCGGGCAGTTCTGGAAGTGGATGCTGGCAGAAAGGTGCAGGGGAAAGTTACTCTGGGATAGGGCAGATGTACAAACAAGGAGACACAGCTCCTTCTCGTGGGGGTCTCTACAAACAGCTGGGGCCTCTGCAGACATGGAGCTCTAGCTCTTTCCAGCAGAAAAGAAGCCCAGTTCTCGTAGCGCAAAAACTTGGATAGGGCGGTAGAAAGGGACATATAAGCGTCTAGAACAGATGCGTTTGAGATGAACGGGCAGGGTCAAAATTTCTCTATGGCTGTAAGGGGGAGCAGCCTGCTCCGCGGCAGCTCTCGGCAATAGAGGACTTGGCCCAGGAGGTCTTAGAAAATTTGCGAGGAGAAGAAAAAAAGCCGCCACCACAGGCAAAGGAAGCTTCCAACTGAAACCTATGATCTGTTCGCCTCCTCATTCCTTGCAGAGACAAAGAGGGATTGCCCTCGTGCAGCTCACAGCCTGGCTCTAGGCGATCTTGCTGCGATCGTGTTTTTGACGGAGCCATCGCAGACTGAAACCCCCAGTTCCCAACCAGGCCTGCCACACACCAACCACCAGAATCAGATGCTTGCATGTCTTTACTCTTTTTCCTCCAGGTCCCTGGATTTCAGGGGAGCCTCTGGCAAGACAGAAGGTACAGCAACCTGACACTAGGCCTGCCCCTACATTAGGTCTAGTCCTTCGTCTTTGCGGATCACCTGGCCATACAAGCCTCTCCATAAACTGATCAGGCTCCTCCTTAAAACAAACAATGTTTTTACCCTCCAAGCAGAAGGCTATTCTGGAGCCTCACTCCACCGATGGATGGAAGCCTTCTTCCAAAATTCCCCTACCCAGAGGTGGATGAAATTTGGCAGTACCAGTACTGGAGGAAGTGACTCTTTGCACAAAGGCAGATATCTGCTTTAGTTAACACTGGCTGCTCCTAACACGTCACATGAGTTTCTTCAATGAACTAAATCCAAAGCCCTTCAGCAAAACGTAGCAGGAGATTTTGCCTGGTTTTCTAACTAGCAGTGGCTGAAGCCACTCAAAGCCTCTAGTGATGCTTTAGAAAATACATCATTGATTCACTCAGATCCAACCACATCCTTCATATCCCTCCACCCTATCCAGCATCTCCCGAAGCATGGCTTGAATTGCTGACAAAGACTTACAAGCCAGAGCGCTAAGTCCAAGCCCTGGCAACTGAACTCCAATCAACAGAAGTTTCAGGTTCCCTTGGAAAACATACACACGGCTCAAATGTTCTCTCCAAATTTTGCAGGCTCCAAATTGCTTTGATAGCTGTGCAATGTAACTTAAAGGGTCCTTTAAGAGGCTGGCATGCAAGGCTATACTCCCTGGAATGGACTAGTAAAGCCCTTGAGTCGTTTGTGGGCAGTCCCCTTCCCACACCCATCACACTGTAGAATGTCAGATTTATCAGATCAAACACTCATTTTAGTTAGAAACTCCAGCTCACAGGTCTCCTATCCAAAAAGGGTAAATCATTTTCTTCTGCTACGCTGCATTTTCTTCCTATATTCCCCCTTCCCCTCAAATAATCACATCTGCAGAAGCCTTCAGAAACTTCTCCTGAAGAGAGTAGTTTCAACACCACATACAACACTTCTGCTTTATGCACCTTTCTGTACTAAAGCAACAAGCTCCCTGAGGAGAGAGACATCACAGCTCCCAGCAGTGCAGAGAGAGCCTGCAACGCTGCACAACCTCCAGAGCAAGAGGAGCTTTCCCTTTGCAGCCTCACTCACCTGTGTAGAGGTCTGTGTCTGTGTACTCATCCACCTTCTTGTGCTGCAGGACGTAGTCAGACACCTTCGTTCCAATTGCAGGCTGGACGTCCAGCCACTCTAAAGAGACTACCGTGCTGGAGGGCTCCACAGTGGGGGAGAGTCGCAAACTGGACAGGACACAGAACAGAAACCAAAGAACACATCAGCTCCCTTTCTGGGGAGGAATCTGCATGTACAAGCAGCGTAACCTCTGGAAGAGTTCACACTCATACGCAGGCGTGTACACAGACCCACAAGGACACTGGGTACAAAGGGAAAGTAGGTAGGTGAACGCAAAAGAAATAAACTTCCAACTGAAAGTCAGCTGGGTGCAGCCTCCTCTGGTGGGTGTCCTCACCTCCCTGCGCTCCCAGAAGAGTCTTGGTCTTGCAACTGAGCCACACAGCCCCAGGCAGCCTGTCTAAAGGAGCCTTCATCTCCTGGGAGAACTCTGTAAACTCAGCCACTCCATGGGGAACTGAGGACCAGATGCCCGGGAGCAAAAGAATAAGGGAGGATCTAGCTTTACTTTCATGCAACCCAGCTGGGTTGAGTCCACACAAGGGGAGGGTCTAGTCTGCATTGTGAGTGAGCAAAGGCAAGGGAGTGAGGGAGGGAGAGAAGGGGTGAGTGTGGCTGTGAATTTACCCAGCTGCAAATGAGCAAGCCTCTGATGGGCGTTAGCAAAAACAAAAGCAGGGCAGCTGCGCACAAACTTGTGCATGAAAGTGTGTGGGTACAGGCGAATGCAGAGAAGCTTTGCACTCCTAGCTGTGCTAGTGCAAAGGCGTACGTTGTTCTTTGCACTGAGGTAAATGACAACAGGGCTATGGAGAGTCCACCTCCAAAAATATAACTGTCTGTTGAACTCAGGATGGGAAATCAATCCCCTCGGAGGATACTGGCTCACTAAGAAGGTGTTCTGTCCCTTGTGGATAGCTGGAATCAGTCTTCCTGCTTTCTCAGCTAATTCCCCATCAGTTTGCTCCTGATTTGCTCTCGCTCTGACAAGCCACAATGAACTGCACTGTAATTCCATTTCTTTCAGCATTTGAAATCTCATTCTACAAGTCCTGCTAATCAGGTGATGAAAGTCTATAAGGAAACCTTCCAGGGCCACAGCCGGAACCAGGACATCCTAAAGGTATCAGTCACATAGTAAGACATGCTGGACTGTAGCCTTGGGCTCAAATGCGAGAGGAAGGAGATGCCCACTGCCTGAGGTGTAACCACACAAAAGCCTGGAAGGCAGGGAGCTGGTGCTGTGGGACAGTGACCCGCGGGAGGGGTTCGCACAGATACGTACACAGGCTGAGGGAGAGGGCTGCAGTTCGGGAGTCCGTTCTCATCGAAGGCGTTGAGGTCACACCTGCACCAGTCTTCGATAACATCGCCTTTCCCCGAGCACCAGTATGAGCTCATCAGGGCTCCCTTGAAAGCCTGATGTGAGAACAAAAAGTGTGAACACGTATGCTAAAGTCAGTGAAATCCAGCCAGTGGCTCAGCCTCGTGCTGCTGAACGTCAAGGGCACGTGTGCAGAAAGTCTGGGATGCAAGAAGTCTGGGGAGGGGGCCTCCCCAGCTCTGCCACGGACTCTGCATGGCCCTAGGTAAGTCATGCAATCTGCCTGTGTTTTAGTGGAAGGACAGAGCAGTGATGCTGGTTCATCCATGTGCGCTGCTTTTGGTGTGGGGATGGGGAGAGTGCCTGCACAACTCTTCATGCACTGGGGATCTCGTGTGACACAGGACCAAGCTGCCTGACATAAACCCGTTTGCAACACAGGACATCATACCTAGGGTACCTGCGCGCCGCTGTTGCGCACAGTGGAACCTTTCCATGTGTCCCTCCCATAGCTGTTTCTGTCCCCGTGAAGAATGAAGTGATTCCTATGTCCACAGCAATGTAAGCCACTGTCATCCCCCTCATCTGTTTGCTATTCATGTGAGCTGCTCTCCTCCAAGCAAATCTGTGCTTTCCTCACTTGTACAAGCACAACTCACAAGAACAACTGCAAAATCCGAAAAAAGCCCTACAAAATACTTGAAGGCTGCACCCAGCTGGGAACCCTTCTCCCCGTAGGCTGTCCTCAACTTGACCAAGAGCCCTCCTGTCTGCTCCTGGTAATGTAAACTGATCCATAGGAATAACAGCAGATGTCCATCTGCTGGGATCCAAGACTGAAACACTTCCACTAAATTCCCAAAGTCCTTTAGGTCTAATCCCGTGGTGTCTTCCTTCCACTCATCCCACAGCTTGGTGAGCGAGTCTGGGACGGCCAGTCCCTATGCTGGTTCCCACGCTCCAGGAGAGGGTGTTCCTCATTCCATACACTTGTGCAGTTCGCATTTGATGCTTTTATATCTGATTTTGCTGCTACCCTTTGCCTGTCTTGTCTAATTAAGCTTCACACTCAGAAGACAGCATCTCTCACGGCCCATAAACACAGCAAAATATAGAACCGACTTTATGGGACGCCACAAAGCCCTGCTAGAATAATCACACCGCTAAAACTTCATCCATTAAAACAAACCTCTCTGCAATGCTTTTGACCTTTCAAAATACACGTTTTGGGGCCTAAATGCCAAAAAGGTCCTCTCTCATGTACAACAGCCTCGCGGCCAATCTTCGTTCAGCCTGCCCCGCGTACTCAGAGCAGCGCTATTCCGTCCATTCAAATCTCCGGGAGCTCCAGCCTGCGGATGCCTGGATCCTGAGATACAGCCAGCCCTCCGCGAGGTTACGCCTTAAAGATAAAACATGCCCTTTGGGGAGGACAGGGGCAGCTATAGCGGATTTCGTATTTAGCACAAAACTATAGAGAAAGCGCTATCCTGGGCACATTTATAAAAAGAAAAGGTATAAATAGAGCCTGACGTCATCGTTCCTTTTGTTTGGGGTTTTGTCATGTTCCTCAAACGCACAACCACCTTTAACAAGGCGCCTCGAGTCTCTTATGTCTGAAATATTTCTGCTTCCAGACATTTACAAAATGTGACTGTTCCAGAAGGGAAAGAAAAAAAAAAGGAAGGAAGGAAGGAAAAAACATGTGAAAGAGAGAAAGTGTGACATTATCTTATTTCATTCTTTCAAATTTAATTCAAGCACTAGACTGGAAAGGGCATCACAAAGTAATCAGAGAGCGTGGAAGACAGAAAGGAGGAGTTTATCTGACACTGGGCTAAATGGGTGCAGATATACTTCTGTGGGAACCGCCGGCACTGTGTGAGATAGGAACAGAAAGAGATGTGCGGCCGTCTGGTCTGCTACCCCCGGCCCACGCAACCTCCTCCCAGCCCCCCAAACTCCCTGCTGCCGCACCCCCTCTCCCCGCGCCCTC